TTCCTGTCCTCTCTTTAATCTGTGCACAAAGAAATGGCCTTCAAGTTGAGGACTTAGTCTGGTCACTGGCATTAGTCTCCGTTGTGTCTCAGCCCTCTGAGTGGAGCACTGGCCAGTGCTTAGCTCCACTGCTCCCAGGGCCAAGCAGAGCAGCAGATCCGTTGTGGTCTGAACGGGGCAGCTGGAAGTTACGCGACTGCACATGCGTTTTTCTGGGTTCTCCTCTGCTCTGTTGGAAGCCTGCGGTGCAGATGATGTACTTGGATCGTGTGCGCTCTGCAGAGCAGCCACAGGGGTGCTGAGTTAAGGGAGCTCTGAGAGCAGAATCACAGTATGACTACTGCAGAGGAATAGATGGGCTGATTTTAAAGTGGGTGTAGCATCAATACAGTTCAGGCTGTTGCTTCCAACCCTTTAAAACAGAGCTGCTGCTTAAGATTTCTGCTCTGTCTCTTTGAAAATGTCGGTTCTTAATTGCATGTACTGAGTGTTTTGTGCCACCGTCTGTGCTGACACAGCTGCCCTTTGTGGCTGGTGGCACCACGTAATCTTGAGCAGGGTCCCTCTGGGTTCCTGCAGCGCTCCCGTCTCAAGCCCAGCAGGGCAATAGGAATTAAAATGCTTTGATTCTTTCCCACCCCAGGACAGTGGAGAGCAAGAAGAAAGCAGTGCAGAGGATTGAGGAGCAACTGATGAAGCTGGAGGTCCAGGCTACCGACAGGGAGGAGAACAAGCAGATTGCTTTGGGCACCTCCAAACTCAACTATCTGGACCCCAGGATCTCTGTTGCTTGGTAAGCACCTGCCTGGGGCACGCGGGAAGGAGCCACCCCTCCCCTTCTGTCTTCAAATGCTGGGGGAAAGCGAGGTGGTTGTGCCTGGGCGAGGGGCTGAGCGCCTGCACTGTGCTGCTGCTGACACCATCTCCTCTCCTGCAGGTGTAAGAAGTGGGGAATCCCTATAGAGAAGATCTATAACAAAACCCAGCGAGAGAAATTTGCCTGGGCTATCGACATGGCAGAGGAAGACTATGAGTTTTAACCTGTTTTTAATGAGTTGAATTTTATGGGAAGAAAAAATAAAAAAAGGGGAGTAGCCTGGTTTTTGGGGAGATTGATAAACTGTGAGCCTTACTTGTCCTTGGATGCTGGGGAAGGGGGAGGAAAGGGGCAAGTGAGCGTCGGATAAAACAGCCAACATCTTGCAGAAAGTGTAACCTGGAAATATCGTAAAGGAGCTGAGCCAGTTGTCCTATGGACAACTTATTTAAAAATGTGTCAGAGATCCAAATTCTAGCTGTCTGGTTTGTGTGGTTTTTTCTCTTGAGACGGGGCAAGTGGATGGGGGATTTGTCAACCTTCCGCCAGGCAAATTCACCATCACACTGAGAGCGTGGGAATCTTTAGCTACTGTATACAAAATCCAATTATATTGGTGCGTTTTTACAGTTAGGGTTTTGCAATAACTTCTATATTTTAATAGAAAATGGACTCCTTAACCCCTGCCCTTCCCCTCCCCCTCCCACCCCATTTCAGAACTTAACAAATAAAAAAATTAAGAAACCCAACGCACCTGTTACAGTCGTCACTATAGTCATGGAAATACCCAAATCTTTTTCAATTTGTCACTTGAAACAGTCATGGCATTGGAACATGAATTACAAATATTCACCACTTCTGTTCAGAGCAAAGCTTGATGGGAAATTGGCCTCCTGACTTGAGTGTTCCTTTTTTTTTAATGTGAATTTTTATTTCTTTTAATTATTATAAAATATTTAAACGCTTTTTTTTTTTTCTTCTTGATCTTAAAGATCGTGTAGATTTGGGGAGCGGGTGGGGGGAGGGGGCCATGTGATGGGGAGATGCGTTCACCACTTCTGTTCAGAGCAAAGCTTGATGGGAAATTGGCCTCCTGACTTGAGTGTTCCTTTTTTTTTAATGTGAATTTTTATTTCTTTTAATTATTATAAAATATTTAAACGCTTTTTTTTTTTTCTTCTTGATCTTAAAGATCGTGTAGATTTGGGGAGCGGGTGGGGGGAGGGGGCCATGTGATGGGGAGATGCGTGTGGAATTTGAGGGCAAGTGAAATTGGCAACAAATGATGTTCCCATCACCCTTTGTTCTGAACATGCTCTGTACACTTCAAGAGTATCTACTTTTTAGGTTTGTCAGACTTGTTTTACCTTTTTTCCCCCCTTTTTTTCTAAGCCCCACTCCCCTCTTTTACTTGAAAGATTTTATTGTGTAAAAAGAAGTTTCACAGGTCAATAAATTTCGAGGGAAATGAGCATCGGTCCAAAAAGGAAAATAATTGAGATTTTAGGGCTTTTATTTTTTCTTTTGTAATTGTGTAAAAAAATTTTAAAAAATGAAAAAGCAGAATTTTAATGTGAAACCTTTTTTTGCTATACTCATTAGTCTTAGAGGCATTGTTAGCTTAGTGTGTGTGCGAAGACCATTTCCTGCAGCCTTTCCTCAATAAGTATCTTCTATTTTTATCATGAATTCCCTTTTAATCAACTGTAGGTTATTTAAAATAAATTCCTACAACTTAACTGAGTGTTGGTGTCTGTGTGTTCTTTCACCCTGGGCTCTGAGCCGTGAGATCCTCGAGGTGCCTCGGTCGGGGGCGATGGTGGACCTGGCACCTGCAACCCTCGCGCTGTCTCCAGGCTGAGATGCTTGAGCCTTTCTCGTTGGAACGGGGCTGCGCCGAGGATGGTGGGGTCATGACAAGGGCCACGTGGGTTGGGATTGAGGATTGACCCAGCAGTTGCGTCGTTTTGGAGGCGGGTCAAGAGCAGGTTCGTAACAGTGCCGGGGATCTGAAGTGAAGCCCCCGGCCCTGGCTGGTGTGTGGAAGGGATTGATGCTTTTCACAGCTGTTTTGAGTAACTGTCATTGCTTCTTGCTTGTGGCAAGTTGTGGTGGTTCTGTGGTCTGTGGTAGGTTTGTATGGTCACGTAGCCAGATCCTCAGTACGTCGCCCAGCGTCACAGCACACAGGCTGTTTTGGTGGCCTGGAGCTGACTGGGCCGTCCCACCGGCCTGCAGTCCTGCTGCTCGCTCGTGAGCTCGTGTTAGCGCTGGGGCTCGAGGTGGTCCATCAGCTCTCCTGATTCCCCAATCCCTCATCTGTGCTCCCCGTGTGGCAATGGGCTTGTTTGGGTTGATTTGTGCACCCCCAGGGGAAACTGCCTCAAATAATGTGCTTTAAATAACTGGCCTGACCCTCAGAGAGCTTTGTCCCCTGGGGGCTGTCGTATCGCCTGGTCCTGGGAAGGTCCTGCCTGGTGCAGCGGAGAGCAGGAGCAGTGGGATGTGGTGAGATCTGAGCTGCTCTTCATGGTGTGGCTTCTCTGTTGCCTTTCGTAGCCTGCAGCCCTCAGCAGCCAGGAGGATGGGGGTTCTTCCTTGCGGGTGGGGTTTTTTTTTCATCAATCCATCTCCCTGGCACTGAAGAGCCCAGCGCTCGGTGTCCTTGAGGATCCTGGAGCAGACACAGGCCCTGGCTCCTCCATGAGCACCTCCCAGTGCTGGGGCAGCGCTTTCTGGGCTCCCAAATCCCCCCAAGGTGTGAGGTTGGGCTCGGGCAGGCGCAGAAGCCTCTCAGCAGCCAGCCCTGAGCAGGGCTTCCTGCTGCCCGCTGTGATATTTTTCAGGCGCTTTGTTGTGGCTGCAAAAACTCACATTTTGGCAGCAGTTACCGTTTACTCTCTGGGGCCTTTCCAAGGTGCAGTGGAGAAAATACCAGCGGAGAGGGAAAGGGGCTCATTGTGCTTCAGACCTGCCCGTGCATGGAACAATACAGCCTGTAAAAATATCCTTTCTATATTTATACGGTCCTCTCTCCTCACACTCAGACCTGACTGAATTAAATTCCCTTACCCCGTGCTGCCGAGCAGGGAAATTTGGTTCTGACCCGTAGAACGTAGGGAGGGATGTGCTGCTGCCTCTGAGGGAGCAGGATTTAATTTGTATTTTTGCCTGTGGCACAGCAGAGTCAGGAACACACATCCCACAGTTTAAACGAAGAATTTCCAGATCTTGTTGACTCACTGTGCAAACGGAGAAATGGCAACGAAACCTGCTGCATCCTGTTCTGCATCCCACCAGCCCAGCGCCTGCTCCAGTGCCACCCCCTGGTACGGCTTTCCTGCCCCGCAACAGGGCCTGTGTTTGGCAGCGAGGGAAACCGAGGCAGCACTGCCATGACTAGCGGTGGGGGCAAAATTAAGGTTGAAACTGGATCTTGTGCATTGCGATGCTCACGGGCAGGGTCTGATGGCCAAGGGGAGGCTGCAAACGCCCCCTGACACAGCCCCATCCCCCTCGAAGTCCTCACAGGATTCAGGAATTGGGAATTGAAACCAGGTGAACTAAGGAAGCGTGTGTTCCCCAGGAACATCATTGGGGAGCGGGAACAGGAGCTGCAGCTGCTTTCCCAGCAGGAGCCCATTTGTGATCCAGAGGTATTTTGCAGTGCCTGGAAAGGGGCAGGAGGATGCTGGGGGGCGCAGCCCTGCCTGTGGACACGGCTTCACCCCAGCTCCTTGGTGAGAGCAGCCGGCACTGTGCCAGCATCTGCCACAGCCCCTGGCCAGTCTGCTTTCCATCCCAGAGGAAAACCACCCTGCACTGCTCCGCATCTGCCGACACCACCCCAGGCCCAGAGGTAGCTCAGCACCACGTTCCCTGCGGGTTTTCCAGCTCCTGCTCTCTGCAAAGCTGGGGGAAGCTTTTGTCTGATGACGATTTTCTCAGCCAGGGGCCTGCTTTCTCGTTTACCTACCCTGGGCAGCACAGGACAGACAGGAACGAATAAATAACCCAGAGCGATGTGTCTCTCCTGGAGGCTGCAAGAGGTCAAGCACTGCTCGCTGGGGTGAGGGGTGGGCACCTTGTCCGTTGGTCCCCAGGGAAGGGAGAGGGATGAATCTGTCCCCAGACACTGGCATCAGAAGGATGCCAGGCTGCGGGAACCCCCACACACTTGCCCCTGGGTTGGTCTCAGGGCTTTGTTTCTCTGGATTTTGGTACTCAGCCCCTCCCTGTCCTGAAGCTGGAGGTCACCACCCAACCTTCAGCCTGTTCCTGGCTGGAGGATGCAGCTGCTCCATGAATCCCACGGGATACAGGCGGTTTGGCACCCTATACTTTGGGACTGCAAAGGAGGAAGGTGCTGGGGTCACTCACAGGGGGAAAAAACCCTTTTCATGGAGGGGTTTGCAAGGGGAGACTTGCTTGCAGAGCCCCCTGCCCTCCACAGCCGTAGGATAAATACCATCCAGAGAATTTCTTCAAAAGCAAAACGAGTCTGACCCATTGCAGAGCAAGGCCCAGGTGGAGTGGAGTGGGACATGGTAACAGGAATAGGATGGAAGTTTCTGCTGCCCCGAGAGGCCGAGGCCGTGGCGGGTGCTTCCCATCAGCAGCAACAGCAGCGTTTGGCAGTGAGGCGGTTACCTTTTTCACTCCTTCAATGACCACACTCCTTTCTCAGGTTTTGCCCTTAAAAACAAGGGTGTGCCAGTAATGCTCAGCTATTTTAAGACCACTGGGAGCCGGCTGCTTCCTGCCAGTCCTGAGCGAGGCCTTTGCACAAGCACAGAGTGCCTTCCCCGGCAGCGGCAGCTCACCCTGGGTGGAGCGTGGCAGAGGGTCCCCTGTGCCACCACTGCCCCAAGGCTCCTACCTGCAGGCTCCCAGCCTCAGCTGAGCAAGTCCCCAGTGTCCTGTTGCCCCTCATGGTGCTCTTGTGTGCTGGTCATTTTTATAAGGGCACATTTAGGTTCTTATCCCAGCATGTTTGCCCTTGCCTTTTTGATGCCCAGAGGTCCTCAGTCCTGGGGCACAGCGAGGCCATGGAGGTGTTGTCATCTCTCCTGGCAAGCGCTGCTGGCCTGGGGTGGAAAGGCTGGATGCTTTTAGTATCATGAAGGTGCCCAGGTAAAGAAAGAAGGTGGAGATGATGGTCACATCTCTGTGGTAGGACCAATGTAGTCTGGCCATGGGCACCTCACTTAGCAAAGGATGCTCTTTCCGGACCTACCCATGAGCTGGAGGGTGAGACAAGGGCTGCTCGGCCACTGGCTGCCTTGCCACAGGTCTGCAAACACACATGGGTATGTATGTGTGCCTGTATTCTCTACGTCCACATATATACATACATCTCTGCATTTATATATGGGGGTACATCTCCTCTAGCCCTTTTCACGGCTCGCTCACGATGGGGCTGGGTTTGCCCCTGGGCAGGCCGGCTCCTGGCCAGCATCGCCTGCTGGGGTGGGGGGTGGACCTGCTCGCAGGACACGGTCCCTGAGCAGCCCGAGTGCCCAGCCCACCCTGGGGTGCCCTGATGGGGAGGAGGGCACAGGGAGCAAGGCCAGCAGCAGCGCAGGAAAGTAAATTGCAGGCTTTAACCAC